CCCCAAAACCCCAAAACCCCAAAACCCCAAAACCCCTACAAAACCCCTAAAACTTGAAATGCATATAATAAATAATATGAAGAAGAAAGGTAAAGATGACCCCACCCTCTTTTGTTTTTCTATTACTTCCTTCTAACTTTCCTCTAGAGCTACCTTTTGGTAACGATTTCAGTCGAGCCCCTCGGTAAGTAAAGAAAGATTCTTAGCTTGAATTCATCCAAATGTTCAACCTTTGTGTTTCTCATTTAGCTCAAATTAGTCAACCAGGGCATTATGGAGCCTTTCTTATTCTTAGTACTGATGACCCAGTCATTTTAGTTATTGTGCCTTAAAGATATTGATTCAAAGCTCTATTAGTGTGCCGCAAATTAAAGGAATCAACTTTATTGTAGAATCTGACTAATAGTTTTATGATCCCAACAAGAGTCAGTTTATCTTAAAAAATTATTTCTGAGAAAGTATTCACTCTGAATTCTGAGACCGGTAAAAAGAGATAAAGGATTTGTCCTAGTTGGTTAACTTATGCTTGTTCTCTAGAATAGCTTTTGTTCAGCATTCCTTTATAAAGAATCAAACTCAAAATTAAATAGGAAAACAACATTGAATGAGAAATGGAGTGACGAGAGCTTAAGAACCCGTCTTGGAAGTTCTAATTCAGATAAAGAGAAGCAGAGGAGCAGTTCTCCTCAGCTCAATAGCCCATTCCCCAATAACTCAGCTTGTTACCACAGTTGGAACTTGAACTCCTTGCTAGGTAAACTACAAACCTTAAAGAACCCAATTCCGACAAGAGTCGGGATTCCGGGGACTTCATCAGGGACAAGCTACAAGTCAATATTCTCGCCTGGCTATTATCAGCCTCAGGTCAACCTAAAAGCCACTAAGATATATGACAAATTTACTCTGGATGATCTGGACCAGATGCAGGTGGATAGCGAGTCGGAGCCAGAAGTTTCACCTGGTAGTCAAGAAAACCAAGGTAATTTAGATGAGCCTTAGTTTAAATTTGTGTTGGGGTTAAAGAGGTTTGGATGAAGCCTTTGAGCTTGATGCTGGATTGGATAATGGGAGGTTAGCATCTTGAGATGGTGGTAAAGTGGTATTAAAGTCGGGTGTGGTCTCTTTAGGCGCGTTGGGTTTTAGACTTAGAGAAAAAGGACGTGGGTAGGCACAGGAGGGATATTGTCTGAAAAGGAAGAAGATTGTGATATTTTATTCTATTTTTTCAAAATATTTGGGTTAGAAATCTATAAGTGAGGTTTGGTAGACAGGAGGAAATATATTTAGACTTCTGAGCACGAAGACATTTCAGCCGTTTTAAATGCTGAAGATCTTCACTAGAGTATTTTCCGCTAGAGCAATTCTTAAAATCACCTCATCTAACTCCGCATCAAAATTAAAGTTCCTAAACAATCCATATAGAACCTGACAAGAACTGTACTGCTCAAGCGCCTAGCTTAGGCAAGCAAGAAGTAAGCCAAGAAGAGATGTACAGGGATGCAGTCTTGGGCTGAAATGATAGAGATTTGTACGGGGAAAATTTAGGTGAAGAAGAGAAGAAGCAAGGAAGGAATGATTTTGATGAAAGTTTTGGCCATAGGGAAGAGAGAGCTTTTGGCATTGGGCAGCAGGATAGAGGAGTTGAGGAGTAATTGGAATAATTTAAGTTCGATATAGTGATGGTCAGAGTTTTGTGCAGGAAGCCCGAGAGATCTCTAATCTGGGTTCGCTTAAACCACCTGTTTTTGGCAGTATTTCCGCGGATAAACCAGAAGAGATGATAGGCCTCCTAACCAGAAAGGAGAGAGAGATTAAAGTTAAGCGTTATCTTGAGAAAAAGAAACGTCGTAGAGAACTCCAAAATCAGAAAGTTCGCTATGAATGCCGTAAAGATCTCGCAAATCGGAGATACCGTCTCCAGGGCCGATTTGTTAGACTTGAAGACATTAAGGAACTTGAAAAGGATTATATCTTCGATTCTAGAACTAAAAAGCTAATCAAACCGATATTCCAAACGGAGAAAATTATAGGGGGTTATAAGAGTCTTTCTAATAATTCCCAACTAAATTCTGACTCAGATGTTCTGATGAATTCAGCGGAGGAGTAATCACTTTTCTTCGTTAAAGGAGCCATACTTAGTATTATACCATGCTTTGATTGTGTCAGTCATGTTTGAGATTGAGTTCTTGAGATTATAAGCAAAGAGACAAAATTGCTCTTACCACGAACACCAATTGGAATTGAGAAGATCGAGGGTCAAGACTCGTTTCTCTTTGCAAAAAGCTATTGGTTCAACATATATCTCATGATACTACAGATAATAGGCGAAGTTAGCCTGTTATTGTCTCATCCATCTCATGACTGGCTATAGCGATGCTAGTATTTTGCTGACTAAGCTACAAGCTTGGCTCCATCATTGAATACGTCAGTGAGTAAAATAATTTCATTTTCGTCACTACACCATAAATAATTCGAAAAGTCTCCTTATCAAGGAGTGGGAAGGTAGCTAGAGGCCTGTTGGAGTTTTCTATATCAGGCCATGGTCATATAGGCCTCTTAGTGTATATTATTCGCTTTATGGCTTTTTCATCCCTTATGATGTTATTACCATTATTTGAATGGAGTTCGAAAATTACAAAAACAATCTAGCCAATGACGATATGTCGAATGGGGTTTTGGGGTTTTGGGGTTTTGGGGTTTTGGGGTTTTGGGGTTTTGGGG